TGATAGTACAAACAATCATTTGTGAGCCCCTGATTGGTAAGGATTAAAATCTAAATTTTAATCTAATTTAAAGTCAACAATTAATTTCAATAACATATTTCAAAAAACATATGATAGACTTCAACCTGCGTCATTTGTCATCAAGTTGTTCCATGCTTCGCTAAAAGTTAAGTTTGAACTTCTACCAGCTGTTGGCCTTCGTTAAGGTACATATGCTTTCCTATTGAAATTGGTTCTTGATTTTGGCACGAAGGACGTCGAACCACCAAACCCTGTTTGTCTAGCACCATCAATAGGCTGGGAAAGAAAACGCCGCACTACATGTTGTTCATTTCCACCATTAGTTGGCTGTGAATTGGCAAATTGCTGTCCAACATTTGCTTTTGCGACTTCCCATTCCATTGGACCATTTATGTCCTACAATTCATGAAAAAGGATGTCAACCAACATAATAAATAAAACAAAAAAAAAAAAAGGATATACTCCTACAACTATAATATGGTACATATGTAGCTTGCCTGCGAATCATAGTTCGAGTGGTATCTTTTATTGTGACCCATTTGACTGCAAATACTACATTTCGTTCTTTTCTTGCCATTACCTCTCCTATCAATCTTTTTCATCTTCTCTTTGGACAATACAGCTTCCTCAACCCCTCTTCGGCACTTTGTCTGCTTCCTGCCTCGTTTTTTGGTCACCCACGTTTACGGGGTCGAAGCCACTCTAAGGCCACATTTTTGGACCATTTATAGGGTACATGCAATTCCTGGATGCCGGCTATTGCGTGTGGACAAGGTACACCAGTTAGATCCCACTTTCTACATGAGCATGTCCCGTTTTGTAAATCTACCACAAACTGACTATCGAAATAAGGTCCAGAAACTTGAAATTGCATTTTCCCATTGAATAATGCTTTCCACGAAAAAGAATCAGGTGTACTCATTTCAAGTATCTTTACAATTTTTGGACATATATCGCTAGAACTCTTTGTTATCATATAGCGACGTTTGTACGTCTGTACCAGCACCTTGTTTTGTATTGACTGAAGAAGAGTCAAAATATCGTTCCCATTCACTTCCTTTATGTAGTTGTTAAAGCATTCGCAGAGGTTGTTTAACAAAATGTCACATTTGGAAGCCATCATGAAATGAGACTTCGACCATTGCTCGGCTGGTTTAGCACATAACCACTCATAGGTAAGTTTATTCTCCTCCTTCATTTTGTCCATCCAAAATGTAAAATCAGCCAAATAAGTAGACTTTGCTGATCTCCACAACAAATCCCTAAGCTTCAACTCTTTAAAGTCTTTGCGAAAGAAGTTGGAGTACATGTGCCTTACACAAAACCAATGCTCAGCCATTAGAAACAACTAAGACACCATATTCTCTAACCCTTTCTGTCTATCAGACATAATTGTGACTCCATATGCATTTTCGAGCATCAAATCTTTCCCTAACAATTTCAAAAACCACGACCAGCTAGCATTACTTTTGGTTTCAACAATGGCATGCGCAATTGGGAATATACAATCATTCCCATCAATACCCACCGCAGTAAGTAACTGACCACCAAAATTGCCTTTCAAGAAGCACCCATCTATGCAAATAACTGGTCTACAACCACGCAAGAAGCCCTTCTTGTAAGCATCGAAGCAAACATAAATCGCCTTAAACATAAGGTTGTCTAAAGATAGTATAACAATTGATCCAGGGTTTGTTCTCCTAACTTCAGCTGCATACGAACCCAACAAACCAAATTGCCCAACAAGCGATCCTCTAAACAACTCCTTAGCATATCTCATAGCCCTCCATGCCTTTGTGTCACTAATCTCTACACCATAATCTTTCAAAACACTTGCCTTAAACAATTTCACATCCCACCTTGGCGCAATAGTAAAGGTCTCAATGTATCTACAGGCTAACCAACTAGCGGATACACTTATATTCTTCAATGCTTTACTACAATTATGATTCCATTTGAACGATTTAATCTGCCACTATGAATCTCCCTCCAACGGCGAAGCCCAAATACGCCACGGACACTTTTTTCCTTTGTAACGACCTTCTAATCTATTTTTATCATTATACGAAAATATCACCTCAAACCTATTATGAATGTTGAAGTTTTTAACCACAGCCTTTACCTCCTTCTTCGACCTAAACTTAAGTCCTACATCAAGCACGGGATCCACCATATCTACTTCTCCATTAAATTCTGGGTATGTAACAACTTCTTCGTCACTGTCAAAATGCACACTTTGAAGATCAACAGAGGGTACATATTCAGAATTGTCAGATT